AGAAATCCTCAAATTCAAAAGTGAAAAATATCTAATAACTCTGTTATAAAACCAACTTGTCAGTCCACCTACTGATTTGATTTGGTAATGGATCAAAATAATTTTGCTATTTATTTTGAATATAGGAAAAATTGCGACATCGGTCCCTAACCTTTTCAATTTTTGCAGATTTTACCCTAATATTCAGTTTTTGCCAACAAAGGTCCCTAATCTTTCAGAAATAAGCATCTGGAGTCCAAATGGATGAAAACCATCCAGTTGACCATTAGTTGACCAAAAAATTTGATTTTGACCAAATTTGGTAAGGGCATTTATGTCAATCACATATTAAACCTTTTAAAAATCAAATTAAGCTAAAAACAGTAAACAAAAAAAAAAAGAGAAAATAAAATGAATAAAAATAAAAAATCATCTTCTTCCACATCCCACCCACCTCGCACTACCCTACCCCCAAAACCCAGAAAGCACGTACCCATCCTTCGACATGTTATTGTCGACCACTACCTGCCACTACTGGCCTTCGCCGACCACCACCACAAACCAAAATTAATAGCTCAAACAACAACACAAAGAATCTCCCCTAATCCCTCTTCAACAAATCCCCCAACCTTTCTTCCCCATCTAAGAATATCTTCGAATAATTAAAATCTAAATTTGAACTTGAATTTATATAACCCCCTTCATCGTCTTCTTCATCATTCGACCCAAGCCCAAGATTTCGCAACCAAATTACAATTCACTTGATGGCGGTAGTTCCAACATGAGTTGTATCCGAATTCTAGTCAGGTTTCTTGGAACCCTATTTAAGAGGAGTGGAAGGCGAGGCCGGAGTTGGAGGGGAAGACCATTTATTAAGCCAAGAAGAAGAATGGGAGTTATGGGGGTTTTTGTAACTTTTGTAGACGGGGAGGAGTGGAGGGAAGAAGAAAAGGGTTTAAAGAGTAGATGAGAAAATGGGTTTGCTTTCCAACAAGAAAAAGGGAGCGTTGAGAAGAGGTGTGATGAAAATGACTCCGATAGCAAGTCAAGAGCTTTCGAGAACGGCCACTCCTATGAGAGCCTCCACTCCGGTATCAAAAAGCCGCATATGCTCGGATCCATTAACTCTAGTAAAAAGTCCGAACGGATTGCTGGATCTCGAAAGTGTTCAAACTGTTACAATCCCGACTAAGATAAGAGATGAGGTTGGCAGGTTTTTAAGATTGTGGTTTTCAAATTGGTTTTGATTTGCTGTGGTGGCTGACGATGGGCGGCGATAGAGGTTGGTGATTGGGTAATTGTTTTCTAAGTATTGGTTTGGGGTGGGTGTTGTGGGTGGAGAGTGGGAGTGGGTAAGATGTGGAAGAAGATGATTTTTTATTTTTATTTCTTTTCTTTTCTCTCTCTTTTTTTAATTGTTTTTTTAATCTTAATTTGATTTTTGAATTTAATATGTGATTGACATAAATGCCCTTACCAAATTTGATCAAAATCAATTTTTTTGGTCAATTGGATGGTTTCAATCCATTTGGACTCCGGATGCATATTTCTGAAAAGTTACGAACCTTTGCTGGCACAAATTGAAAATTAGGGTAAAGTGCAAAAATTGAAAAAGTTAGAGACCGTTGCTACAATTTTCCCTTGAATATATAGTAGAAAGTGGAAACCGTGAACCTAAATAGGCCGCGTACATTTTTTTGACAGATGCTTTGATTATGTAATCTATTTGACAATTTGTTATGATTAGATGTGTCCCATTCATATTGATCATTAATTCTTTTAAAGCAGTTTCTTTTGTTTCTTTTCGTGCAAGTGAAAGGTTATGAATTTCATAAAATCACTTCACTTATGTGGTGTCTATTCGTTTAATAGATCTTACATGCATGTTACTGCACTATATCCTAACACATCTAAAAGAGGCAGATTTCTGACGTCATAGTCGACCAAAACGACGCCGTTTTAGCGTTCACCGCCTTTGCCAATACGACACCGTTTAAGTGTTCGTTGTCTTTGCTTAAAAGAAATAAAATATTCCTTCATAGTCTGTTCTTGTCTTTCCCATTTGCGTGCGGTTGTATTCTGCTAT